AGACTTGCTGTCAGATCTTGTTACTGAATGCATTAATTAAGAAAGCACATGTGTAGTTCTTATCACATATTTACTTTTTAAATACTTTGATAAAAATAATGTATTACAACTGGTTTTTGTGTAATTCTATGTATTTTAAGCACATAAAAACAGTCTTCTGCAGGGTAGGGTGTATATATTCCAAAGGTTAAGATGTCAATCTTAATCCCCCGCCTCTGTAATTCCATTCTCCCAAACTAACCACCATTCACACCGTAGTATGTTTTCTTCCACACGTCTTCCTTTACATGGACAAATGTACATCAGGAGGGTAACATACATACTGTGTTCTATAGTTGCATTTTACACTTCTGTCGTGTAATGGAAGTGTCTATATAATCCTACCTCATTTTTATTCAGGCTACAGAGCAGCCCATGGTATGGTTCTACCCTAATTCAATCACATCCCTATTAACGGACATCATACTGTTTCCAGCTTTTGGTTCCTATAAACAATGTTGGAATAAATGTACTTATATATAGTCTTCATACACTGTTTTTAAAATTCTTCATGATCAGTCCAACTTAAGGAGCATTGTACCAATAAAAAAAGACCTCCAAATTTAACCAGAAACTCAATTTTATATTATGAAATCAACAGCAACTATAGATAATATTTTTTGTGTTCACTATGGGCAAGGTACAAAGCCCTTCACGTGGATTAACTCATTTTAATCCTCCCAACTTCAGGGTGTGGTATTGCTACAATTTCTGTTTTACAGGAAAGGAAACTGAGGCACAGAGTAATGTTCAGTTTCTAAGTTCCCAAAGTTTGTAATTCTGGTGACAAATTCAAACAAGTGGATATTCCTGGAGCCTGAGCTCCATCAATGGCCCTTTGAAGGGGAGCAGTAAAAGACAGACACGCTGACCTACACATTGTTACATCATCAACTTCTGAGAGAATGTCGTGAAGCTCCTCGGCATGGCTTTGTCACTGTGCCTTTCAAGAGGTGGATCAAACAGGAAAGATCACAGTGATTATTACAATCTACCACCTGATCAATTAGGTCAAACATAATTAGGCCATGTCAACAGTGAGCAAATCTGCCATCAGAAATGGCGTCAGAACACCCTTTGGACTCAACATGGGTCTCCCTATTTTGGGCCCAAATGATTTCACAGACAACAAAAGCACTTGGTAAATCCAAAGGGAAAAGAATGTCAACAGGCTAAATATAAGCATCACTAATGAAGACCAAATCTCAGCACCTGGCCTGGTCTCCTATTCGATAAGAGAATTTTCAAATCTCCCACGTAATTCATCAAGGCCTGCTGCTGGCCAGGACAAGACCAATCTCCCCAGCTAGCAAGTTCCAGAATAGACAGAGAAACAAAACCACAGAAATGGTATCTTTTTAATTATCTGGACTCTGCTGAGCAGAGATAAAATAATACTGCTGCTATTCCATGTTTGGTTTAACATATCCTATCAATGAAACATCATTCAGCTTAATCAAGACAGAAAAGCTTCCCCAATCCCCAGGCCCCTTCTATACCAACTCTTATGCTTTGAGCATCCATGTAATAGGGTAAGTAATTGGGATGCACAGGTTTGGAAATTTGGGGGTGTCTGTCATAAGCCTCAAAGCTGATTTGCCAATAAGACTAGCTTAATGCACTGTATGCCAACCACCACCAGAAGCCACGGCCCCGAATATTTTCTTCTCCTTTCTTTCCTGTCCTGAAGGCAGTGCAGAGTAGCTGGGCGATCAAGCCATCCTAGGCTTGAATCTACAATTAGCTGTGACTTTGAGCAAGTTGCTTATCTCTCTAAGCCTCAGTTTCCTGATTTACAAAAAGGAGCTGATACCCCCTACAGTCATAAGATCATTGTAAGAATTAAATGAGACATTTGGAAAGCCCATAGCATAAAATGGTTAATCCATACTAGCATTCTATGTCATTCTAGTTACTAATGTAATAATAACTATGTCCTGGTGGTGCAGCGGTCAGGAGCTCGGCTGCTAACCAAAAGGTCAACTGTTCAAATCCACCAGCTGCTCCTCGGAAACCCTATGGGACAGTTCTACTCTGTCCTGTAGGGTCACTATGAGTCAGAATCGACTCGACAGCAATGGGTATAATTAGCACAGTGATGGGGAGGACAGGTCTGGGAATCCAAAGCTGAGTCACTTGCTGGCTGGAAGACCCTGGGCAAGTTAATAACTTTTATACACACCAGTTGCCTTGTCTCTAAGTGGGGGTGATGTGAGCATTAAATGGTAAAGTGTCTAACAGCGCAGTGTCCCTCATGTAGTCCATACGCACTCAATTAACAGTAGCTGCTCTTGTCACTGCATAGCTAATGGGCCTCCCACAGCTATGCTACATAACAAAGGGGCTGAGCATTATTGTCCTTCCTTCCCTGAAACTCTGATTAATAGTTACCCTCTGCAAACCCATGCTAATAAAAATAAGGCTCAGCATCTCAGAAATACCCATCTGAGTAACTCAATCTGAGACTTCATTCATTCATTCAATTATTCATTTGTCCCAGATGTATTTATGGAGCACCTATGAGCCATGGAGCTCTGGTGGCACAGTGGTTAAGAGCTACAACTGCTAACCAAAAGGTCAGCAGTTTGAATCCACCTGCTGCTCCTTGGAAACTCTATGGGGCAGTTCTACTCTGTCCTATAGGGTCCCTACGAGTTGGAACTGACTTGACGGCAGTGGGTTTGGTTTTGGGTTTGGTGTGAGCCACACCATTTGCTTTGAAGGAGCTCACAGCCTATTGGTGAATCTGTAAACAGATCATAACTATACCAGATACTGTAATAAATTCAGGAACAGCCTGCTGTACCCCTGAGTGATCAGAGTCCAAAAGATGTCCTGCCATTACACATCTGGGGTAAATAAGCTCATGTCCTCTTCTGCCTTAGATTTGTAAATTCACTTCCCTTCCTGTTGATGTGCCAGTGACTTTCTAACATTTATCTGTCCCCTTCTCTGAGTCATACAAAAGAAGGGACTTCAAGTCCACGCTCATTTAATGCTTACTGAGCACCTACTACTATGTACCAAGCTCTGTGCCAGGGGCTGGGGAAGCAACAAGAGTGGAACGCAGCCTCCCCTCGCCCCCCGTGAGGAGCTCACAATGGCTGGGGAGACCTACGTGGAGGCAGGCGTCACGACACTGTGTGGTAACGGCTAGAACAGGGTCCTCTGTGTGCAGCGGAGGGCGAGGGAGGCATGGCCGGAGGGTAGGATATGACGGTCCTGGGAGTTCTGGGTGCCCTTAGAGGGCGCTGAGCTATGAGGGATAAGCAGGCAGGAGGCAGGTGAGGAGTGGGGAGAAGGGCATTCTAGATGTGGAGGATGAGCATGCAAAGGCCCAGTGGCAATATGGGACAGGATTTTGAGAAACTGAAAGAAAACCAATGTGGTTGGCCTGGGTGTGCAGAAAGTAAAAAGGAGCGGTTCACCCACCACGGTGCAGCCACCTGCTCCCGTGGGGAAGTCCCATCAGCACGGAAAGGAGGCCCTGCCACCAGCGCCATGGCCAGTGGTGGTGAGAGGATGGGCAGGCACCAGACTGCACAAGGCTCTGTAAGCACCGCGAGGACTCTGGGGACATGCAAGATTTGTATTTTAAGACGATGACTCTGGCTGCTGTGTGCAAGGAGGCGGAGAGGCCAGAGAAGAGGCCACTGAGACAGTGAACAGAGCTAAGCAGCAATGAGGATCTGCAATCATGGCAGCGAGCTGCAGAAAAGGCTACTCTACTCTTTGCAGACTATAGCTCAGCTCTTCTGTGACCTCTCTCCTTAACAGGAGAGAAAACGGGCACGAGGGAGCATGTGCCTCTTGGGCAACTGTGTGGACTTTGCAGAGGAGACAGAAGGGGTGGTCAGAGCAACAATACGTGGGTCTCAAAAGCACTGAGAGCCAGCAGCATGCCTCGCCAGGAACTTTAAATAGGGCTCATTCTGCTGGCTGCAAAACGGCCAACCAAATGTAGGAAGGACGTGAACTCGATCCTGTCCCGCACCCATCATGATCCAGCCACCACTCCTGTGGGGGAGCCCCACCAGCAGAGCAAGGAGGCCCGGCCACCAGCATCACGCCCAATGGCTAAAAGAGGGGCCTGGGCCCTGAGGGAGTGGTGGGGGGTGTAGGAGACTAGTCCATATCTTCCTCAGGAAAGGAGAGGAAGATGGGGACATTTAGACAAGAGGGCCAGGGCAGACACTGACCTGGAGCTGCACAAGAATGGGGCTCCTCCTAAAGTGGGGAGTGTAAGCAAATTTCCTCCATCAAATCACAGACTTAGCAAGGGGCCTGCTGTGTAACGGAAAGAGAGATGGGCCACAGAAACCTGAAGACAACACCCCACTCCTGGGTGGTCCCGGACTAGACACCAACTTCTCTGAGCTTCATTTCCACCTCTCACTGCCAGACGCGTAGAAACGGGTTCACAGGTTTAAAAAACGCTCACACCCTGTTAGCCAGGAATTTCATTTCTCGGACTTTATCTTACCCAGAAAAGAGATGACGCTAAGATATTCTTGGGTGTCCATCAGCGCTGTTTATAATAGTGACAAGTTGGAACTTACCTAAATAGCTAATAAAGTATCCATTAAATCAATCTGGTACACCCGTCTCACAAAGTACTCTATAGTTAATAAAAATAATGCTCTTGCATTGAATGTCAACCAGTCAAATATACGCCTGTACTCTTCCCAACTCCGCACAAAGTTCCGCCAAACTGCATATGAAAGATCTGTGCTCATGCTCCCTCCTCGGAACGCCATTTGGAACTTTCATTTTGGCGCCTCCTGATTTGCAAATCTTTGAATCTAGTAAAACCCTTCTTTTATTTTACAGGAAAAAAAAATAATGCTCTTGAAGAATATTTCTAGATATGGTGAAATGCTCTCAATATAGCAGCTGAAACATGCAGGGATAAATTATTATGTGTTATTATCCCAATTTAAAAAAAAAAAAAAACTGTGTGAGCTTATATAAACTTTAAATGCTGGTTAAAAATACATTATGCTATGTTGTTGTTAGGTGCCGCGGAGTCGATTTTTGACTCGTGGTGACTGACTCCATGTGACAGAGTAGAACTGCCCCATAAGGTTTTCTAGGCTGTAATCTTCACAGAAGCAGATCGCCAGGTCTTTTTCCTATGGAGCCGCAGGGTGGGTTTGAACTGTCAACCACTGGGTTAGCAGCCAACTGCTTAATCGTTGCATCCCCAGGGTGCCTGACATAAGCTACACAGGATACATATACACAGTCAGTCTACAGACAGGCAAGGAAGCAATAAACATCACACTCAGCAGAGCAAAGAGGTCTGCAAGGGCCTTTGCCTCTATTGTAAACGGCTTATTTCTTTAGTTACATTAGTAGTACAAGGGGTTTTACATTATCCTTTATACCATTCTGTATGTCTAAAATATTTCACAGAGAAAAAAGTTCTAAAGTGAGTGGGTGTGTAATGACAGGAAGCAAACACATCAAAAGGTAGCTACTGTATTCAGGTGGGATTACTGATGAATTATCTATTGCTCACATTTTCCAAATTTTCTGCGAGGAACATATATTCCTCCTTTTCATCTTTTACATTATTTTTATTACTGGAAACTATTTTATGCCCACCCCTAGAACGTGATGTTTTTCGAGAAAGGATGTTTGGTCTCTGAGCAGTGCCCTCCAGTGGGGCAGCCCTCTGCACACCTGGCTCTCCCACCCAGGGCCTTTCCTGGGGCCTTGCGAATGCCCGGTTCTTTAGGCAGGCATCCCTCCCAGTTAGAATGTAAAGTAGAAAAGTGCTGTGGGGGAAGCAATCTCTGCCCAGCCATCCCACTCGCATTCTCTGACGTGAGAGAAGATTTGTAGGCGGCTGCTGGGACAGTCTCCACTCTGCAAATTGCTTTAAAAATTGTACATTGCTTTTCTTTCCCCCGGAATAGTTTGCCTTCTGTCATGCCCGGAAGCTGGGGGTTCAGCCAGTGGATTGGGTGAAGTGCTGGGAAAAAAAAAGAGACCAATTATAGCATCAACTAGCATGGACTTTCCAGTCAGAATTCACTTTTCATCAAGTGCTGGGAGTGGAGGAGGGTAGGAAAACAATTCTTTGGAGGAACGTCACCAGATTTTACAACCCTTCCAATTTCCTCTGTAAGAAGAATGTTTAACTTTGGGTCTTGGCTGGGCTCCATGGGGTCCATCCCCTGAAATCACACATCAATCTTTGTAAAATTTTCTGCAGTCCAGCACTATTACCAGGTTCCCAAAAGAGTCAGTGACTTCCAAACAAGCGAGGATCCCTGTTCTGTGAGAACCAGCTTACCCACTCCTGTTTGATCTCTATGTCCAAGTTCAACAGGAGGCTGGAGAGGAGTTTTTTAGGAAAACTCTCTTCCAGGCACCCGTCAGAACAGTCATTGGAAGCTTTAAAAGAAAATAAGAAGTCAGTGAGAATGTTCATTGCTATCCTCACTGAGACTTTCTGAGGGGCTCTATAAGTCACCACTTACTTTCGAATCAAAGGGGGAGGATTTCACCCATGTGAACCCCTCCTAGTTTCATATCACAGATGGATTTCTTTAAAGGGGGTACGTGTGCTGAATCCCGTATCACAGAAGGGAAGCTCACTGTTTTTTGTTTTTTTAAATCCATCAACCAGTAAGTATTTATCAAGAGCCCAATGAGTACCCAGCATTGGGCTGAGCCTCCACGGAAACTTGCCCGTGACCCCCGAAGACCCCGTCCCCTCCATCTAGCAACTTTTTGTTCAAAAACATCTGATAAATGTCTCTTCACTTATTAAATGGACTCAAACTCGAGGGTTACTAATATTACTTCTCTAAACTCTCGCATCCTACAGTATGTCTCATCCACTGAAGCCCACCTTTTTTTCAGATACTTTCCACTACACACAGAGCAGACTCAAAATATCCCTCAGTATCAGTGACAGTTAAGGGACTGTGACCCTATGGCTATCACCATTTAAAAGCACAAAGATAAAGTCCCTCTGAGCAGCCCACAAGGCCATTTATTTATCAGAACAATTAATTAGAATCAGATATTTATTTAGACATTGTTGCTTTTGTGGCAAATGTCTTCTTACGAGGGGCTCCACTCACCACTTCACTCAGCGGAACTGATCTGCATTGAGCGCCTACGAGATACGAGGTACTGAACATGAGTAACACTCCCTCCACGGCCACGTCTGAATCTGTCACACATTCTGTCATCTCCGTATGACTCTCACTGCCAGCAGAACCCGCAAAACACTAGTTTTCACGTCCCTCCAACAGCTTCTAGGATTCTTCTAACTTTACGAAAACTTATTACAAATATTCTGTGGCAATATATGGAGTATATTCTGCTCAGGGTTTGGAAATCTCTTTGTCAAAATTCAGGAAAAGTATCAAGTAAATAAGAGATGAATTTGACCATAGCTGAATCTCTATGCACAGCCCTGTCAATAGTAATGATGTTCTCTTCCATAAAAGTCTCTTAACTGTCATAAAACATGACCTATAATAAGATGACCAAAAAAGGAAACATCTGCATCTGTACAAGGAGAAAAGAAGGTGCTTTACTCATTATCTGATACTGAGATGAGCATAATGAGAAGACAAGGTCCTTTATGCATTCATGACAAAAACAAAAATTGCAATTCATAATTGCAAACACTCCTTTCATTTAAGAGAACTTGGCGGTTAAGGAGCCCTGGCGGTGCAACGGTTAAGCACTCGGCTGCTAACTAAAATGTTGGTGGTTCAAATACACCCAGGAGCTATATGAGAAAAAGACCTGGCGATCTGCTCCCATTAAGATTACAGCCAAGAAAACACAATGGGGTAGTTCTACTCTGTCACATGGGGTTGCTATGAGTCAAAAATTAACTCTATGGCACTCAACAACAACAGCAGTGGTTCTTTGATAAAAAGCTTCTAGAGACATATTTGCCTGAAAAATGAACACGAATATAGACTTGAGGAAAAAAGTATGATGAGGCATGATCTTAGAAATGACCTAGATTGAAGTCCTGCCTATATCCCCCTGGAGTTTCACTCTATCATTTGCAAAATGAAGGGACTGGAATATAAAACAGCTCAGGATCCTTTATATGTGGAGAATCAATTACTCTAATAATTTCCATAAACTAAAAAATACTCTAGATACAAAAAGCTTTTTGCTGATAATAAAACACCCAGTGAGTAAAGTAAAACCCAGAAGCTTTTGTCCTGTTACCATTGCAACATTAATAATTGGAACATGGAATATATGAAATATGAATCTAGGAAAATTGAAAGTTGTCAAAAATGTAATGGAACCATAAAGATCAATATCCTAGGCATTAGTAAGCTGAAATGGACTGGTATTGGTCATTTTGAATTGGACAGTCATACGGTCTACTATGCCAGGAATGACAAATTGAAGAGGAATGCTACTACATTCATCATCAAAAAGAGTATTTCAAGATCTATCCTGAAGTACAATGCTGTCAGTGACAGGATAATATCCATACGCCTACAAGGAAGACCAGACAACTATAATTCAAATTTACATACCAACCACTAAGGCCAAAGATGAAGAAATTGAAGATTTTTACTAACTTCTGCAGTCTGAAATTGATCAAACATGCAATCAAGATGCATTGAAAATTACTAGCGATTGGAATGCGAAAGTTGGAAACAAAGAAGAAGCATCAGTAGTTGGAAAATATGACCTGGTGATAGAAACGGTGCTGGAGATCACGTAATAGAATTTTGCAAGACCAATGACTTACTCATTGCAAATACCCTTTTTCAACAACATAAACAGTGACTATACACATGGATCTCACTGGGTGGAATACACAGGAGTCAAACAGACTACATCTGTGGAAAGAGATGATAGAGAAGCTCAATTTTATCAATCAGAATAAGGCCAGGGGCTGAATGCAGAACAGACCATCAATCGCTCATATGCAAGTTCAAGCTGAAGCTGATGAAAATTAAAATAAGCCACAAGAGCCAAAGTATAACCTTGAGTATATCCCACCTGAATTTAGAAACCACCTCAAGAACAGATTTGACGCACTGAGCACTAATGACAGAAGACAAGTTGTGGGATGACATCAAGGACATCATACATGAAGAAAGCAACAGGTCATTAAAAAGACAGGAAAGAAAGAAAAGGCCAAAATGGGTATCAGAAGAGACTCTGAAACATGCTCTTGAACATCGAGTAGTTAAAGTGAATGGAAGAAATGATGAAGGAAAAGAGTCAAACAGAAAATTTCAAAGGGCAGCTCTGGAGGCGACAAAGTAAAGTATAATAACGAAATGTGCAAAGACCTGGGGTTAGAAAACCAAAAAAGGAAGAAAACACTCAGCATTTCTCAAGCTAGAAGAACTGAAGAAAAAACTCAAGCCTCAAGTTGCAATACTGAAGGATACTATGGGCAATACTGAAGGAACAATGCAGGAAGCATCAAAAGAAGATGGAAGGAATACACAGAGTCACTGCACCAAAAATAATTGGTTGACATTGAACCATTTTAGGAGGTAGCATATGATCAAGAACCGATGGTACTCAAGGAAGAAGCCCAAGATGCACTGAAGGCACTGGTGAGAAACAAGGCTCCAGGAATTGACAGAATACCAGTTGAGATGTTTCAACAAACGGATGCAATGCTGGAAGTACTCGCTCATCTATGCTAAGAAATTTGGAAGACAGCCTATCTGGCCAACCAGCTGGAAGAGGTCCATATTTATGCCAATTCCAAAGAAAGGTGATTCAACAGAATGTGGAAATTATCAAACAATATCATTAATATTACAAACAAATAAAATTTTGCTGAGGATAATTCAAAAATGGTTGCAGCAGTACAGACAGGGAACTGCCAGAAATTCAAGCTGGATTCAAAAAGGACACGGACCGAGGGATATCTTTGCTGATGTCAGATGGATCTTGGCTGAAAGCAGAGAATACCAGAAAGATGTTTATCTGTGTTTTATTAACTATGCAAAAGCATTTAACTGTGTGGATCATAACAAATTATGGATACCACTGCGAAGAATGGGAATTCTAGAACATTTAATTGTACTCATGCACAATTACATAGGCCAAGAGGCAGTCATTCAAACAGAACAAGGTGATAATGAGTGGCTTAAAATCAGAAAAGGTGTGCATTAGGGCTGTATTTTTTCACCATATTTATTCAATCTGTGTGCCGAGGAAATAACCCAAGAAGCATGACTACATGAAGAACAATGAGGTATCCAGATTGAAGGAAGACTCATTAACAACCTGCAATATGCAGATGACACAACCTTGCCTGCTGAAAGCAGAGGACTTGAAGCACTTACTGATGAAGATCAAAGACCACAGGCTTCCGTATGGATTACACTTCAACATAAAGAAAACAAAATCCTCACAACTGAACCAATAAGCAAGCAACATCTTAATAAAGGGAGAAAAGATTGAAGTTGTCAAGGATTTCAGTTTAGTTGCATCCACAATCAACGCCCATGGAAGCAGAAGCCAAGAAATCAAATGATGTATGCATTGGGCAAATCTGCTGCAAAAGACTCTTTTAGCAAAGATGTCACTTTGAGGATTAAGGTGTACCTGACCCAATCCATGGTATTTTCAATTGCCTCATATGCATGCGAAAGCTGGACAATGAATAACGAACACTGAAGAAGAACTGATGCCTTTGAATTATGATGCTGGTGAAGAAGAACAAACAAATTTGTCTTGGAACAAATACAGACAGAGCGCTCCTTAGAAGTGAGGACGGCGAGACTTTGGACCTGTTATCAGGATAGACTAGTCCCTGAAAAAGGACATCATGCTTGGTAAAGGGTCAGTGAAAAAGAGGAAGACTCTTAACGAGATGGATTGACATGGTGGCCACAACAATGGGCTCAAACACAGCAACGACTGTAAGGATGGCGCAGGAGCAGGCTGGTGTTTCCTTCTGTTGTCCATAAGGTCGCTATGAGTCAGAGCCAACTCGATGGCACCTAGAGACAGCAACAACGATGACAACCTAGTAAACTAACCCAACTCCATCAAAATAATGATCCAAAGACTGGAAGAGACAAGCACCATCTGGTGAAATAAAGATGCTCAAGTACATTAACTGGATGCCAGCTTGGGCTCACTCCACCATGGCTGTTGGCATCACAGAACACCACAATAATTAAAATAACTAAAACAGCATTGTTTATGCTTGTAAATAAATGTCATCAGATGAGAATTCAATAATCCATGTTCAGTGAAGTTTCAAATTTTCACATTGGTTTTGGAAGACCTGATCCCCACCCCCTTTTTGTTAACACATGCGGAAACAGAGGCCCAGAGAAAGAAAGTTACTTGCCCAGGCTATGCCAGTATTAGAGGCAGGGCCAGGACCAAGACTCAGTTTTTAAATGTTAGCACAGGGGCCTTCTCATCTCATACCAGTGGCTTTCACAGTCTTGGTAGGGCAGAGAGACCAGGGCCTAATGTTAGAAGGATCCACCACGAGCAGTGGTTACATTTTAAGAAGGGTAAAAGACGAACAGACTTGGGGATCTCAGGGAGGGTCTGAGGTCCTCACTCTGGATAATTGGGGCATCAGAGGCCCTAGTAGGCTTGCCAGTTGCATCAGTGGGGAGACAAGGATGCCATGCAAAGAAAACTGCTGAAATTAAGCATCAAGGATGGCCTGAAAGATATAAGAAAACCTTTTTATCTCTATCATCACCAGCATTCAACTACCAAATCACTTAAATACCTTTTGGAAAGTTATGTTTGTTTGGGTTTTTTTGCTAAAATCATTTATTTGCTGTACGTAAAAACCATTTATTAAGCTGTATGATACTGACCAAGTTTTTCTAACATCTCTGAGCCTTGTTATCCTCCTCTCTAAAATGTGTCATTGTGAGAACTGTGGATATAATGTAAGTATATAGTCTGGCACAATGCTTGGGACCTACTGAGTATTCAATGCATCCAAATCATTGCTGAAATAGGGTGAAGAACATGTTTATTCTTATCTATATTTTTCCCAAATTAATATGCATAAATGTGAAAATATATGCTTTTTTTTTTTTAATGTTTTATTGTACTTCAGGTGAAGGCTTACAGAACAGATAGTTTCTCATGTAACAGTAACACACATGCTGTTTTATGACATTGGTTAACAACCCCACAACATTTTAACCCTCTAAATTCTCAACTTTTTTTTTTGTTTGTTTGTTTTGTTTTGTTTTTTGGTGAAAATACACATAGCCAAAGATACACCGTTTCAAAAATTTTTTTTACATACACATTTAAGTGACATTGACTACGCTCTTCTAATTGTGCTGTTATTCTCACTTAAGATGAAGGCTTACAGGACAAAATAGCCTCCCATTTAACAGTTACTACAAATGTTGCCATATGACAATGGTTAACAATCTCACAACACATCAACAATATCCTTACTCTACTTTGTGTTCCCTATCATCAGAAAATATATGCTTTTAAAGAAAAAAACTATGAGACCACCATTTGGTGGTGCCTAGTATGCACCAGACAATGTGTTTGGTGTTCTTACTTCTATCGTTTTATTTAATCTGCACATAAACTCTGTTAGGTTAAGTCTTTTCAACCCTATTTTCCAGATGATAAAATACAGGCAGAGAAAGGTGTCACAGAAACAGTAAGTGTGAGAATCCTGATTCAAACTAAAATCTGTTTAATCCAACACCATTCCGCCATGCTGTTAAAGACTTCTTCTGGCCTTTGGGCCATCCAGCTGCCCGAGTGGGGCCAACACACTAAGTGCCCCCAAAAGAGGAGGAACACCTGGCCCATCTTCTTGAACCAAACTCTAAAACAGCGGGTTGATCTAGAGTCTACCCAGATGTGCTGAATTCGTAATTTATTTTATGAGCGAAAAGACACAGATGATAGACAAGTTAGCTTGGAAGTTTAAGTTGGCCATGCAGCTTCCTTCTGTGAAATGAAATGCTCTTTCGTTAAAAGTTTTCTGTCATATCACAACTTCTACGGTCAGATCCTGGAAACCCACTTAAAGCACAGCATACGTATTAGCAAATATGCTCAGAGACGAGAGATGTTCCAAGCACGGGGGAGGCAGAACGCACTATACTTACACTTATGTCAAGACTACAAAGGCTAACAGCATCTTCATCTTGGGCACTCTGCTTCCGTTTACGCTGCAAAACAAACAATAAAACAAAGTTCAAATGTAAACAGGGATTACGGCTTTGATTAAAGAAAAAAAGCAATCAAACAGCACATGCAATTCTTATCATTTCTACCATGTTACCAAAAACCTTTAACCAAGCTACATAAATGAACAATTCGAAGAAAATCTGAGAAATTACAGGAAACTATTTAGCTCTGGGATAATTGGTATGCATAATTTTCTTATTCATGCTGCTATGGTTTATTTCTTTTTGTAGTTCCTTTTTTCTAGATGCTTCTGTATCTAGAAATTTAGACACAAATTTCAGATTCTAACTAGCCTGGAGGAAGAGACTAGGCTGGAAAGAAAATTTTATTCACTTAAAGATATTCCACTTTTAGAGCTCTTTTGTACTTGAATAATTAAAATTTCTTCAAAACCCCGTCCAAGGTTCTGATGAAAATGCAGAATCAGAAAGCTGGAAAGACGCTTAGATATGTTTTTCTCTAACTTTTCTATTTCATAGCCACAAAAGCTGAGACTCAGAAAAGTCATTACTCAAACCGAAGATAATTGTATCTGAAAAGAAGTTTTGCCTGCTTAGATGTGGAAAAATAATACATAAAATATATTGATATGAAATACTTTCTTTTCTTTATAAAAAGAAATGAAACTCCATCTACAACCACAATAAAAGCGCATCAAAAGATGCGTTCACCTTTTTTCCGCATCCCTGACTCAACGAGGCCAGTATTTATTAAGTCCCTAATCTGTGACTTAGGAGCCCTGTGGCACAGTAGTTAAGTGCTCAACTACTAACCAAAAGGTCGGCAGTTTGAACCCACCAGCTGCTCCATAGGAGAAAGATGTGCAGTCTGCTTCTGTAAAGGTTCCAGTCTTAGAAACCCTATGGGGGAGTTCTGCTCTGTCCTATGGTTGCTATGAGTCAGAATCAACTTGACAGTGGGTTTGTTTGTTTTTGTTTTTTGTAATCTATGACTTGCTAAGTCTCCTGATGCTATCTGACAGGAAGCTACCAATGGACCAGCATCGCAGGCATGAGGTGACAGCGGAGTTCAGAAACATCTGGAGTCTTCACCCTCAGAGAAGTCCACCTCCTCTGCCACCATCAGAGTCCTGAGATGGAAAGCTTGAACAAAGGCAGAGACTGGGAAGCAACCAGAACTGTCCTTTACTGTCCAGTTACTACAATTATTCTATCATTTCTTCACTTAATTCAACAAAGATTTGTTGAGCACCCACTATGCACCATGCCCTGTGTTTGCTCCTGGGAATGCAAAGGCCAGCTAGACACCAGCACTCATGATTAGAAACTCACATTCAGGTAAGAACCACAGATCTCGAGAAGATTAACTAAGACGTAGTAAGATCCCCCTTGGCACTTAGTCAAATGTCCTAGAGAAAGTGAATTCACCTCTCGGGCTCACCTTTTTCTCATCTCTAAAGTGGAGATGATGACATTAGTTTCTATTCTCAAAGAGGGAGAAGTAAATACAGTAATGATTTTATAGCTTAGTGGGGTGCCTGGTATGTAGTAGGTGCTCAAAAACACGCGTTAACTAACTCTGAAAGCCCAGGGACGGAGTAATTAGTTTGACCTTGGTGGGGATTGTAGAAGTCTCCCCAAAGGATGGGGCATTTGGATAGGCCTGAAGGATGAATAAGAGTTTGCCAGACAGAGATGGGGAAGGAACTGGGATCCTTCTGCATAGCCAGCTACCTAGATATTTAGAATATCAAGATCCAATACATTATTCCACTTGAGTAGTGGTACAGTGTGCAGCAGAATCACCTGAGGAAAAACTCAAAATGTCGATGCCAGTTGCCAGCCCTAGAGATGCAAAATCAACAATGCTTGGACGGTGCCCAGGAATCTCGCACCTTACCAAGCTCGCCAAGTGATTTTTAGGGGTGGAGAAAAGAGCCAAACGCTCCACTTAGGGGCTTTGCGGGGAGGCAATGCTGATGGCCACTCCGCACAACTTGCCACTCTTCAGGATACCTCACATTTATCCAGGGTCTTGATGCTGTAGATTCATCACCCAGATGCAATTAAAAATGGCACTGCGGTCGGTGTCAGAGAGGACAAGTCACCAGCTTACATTTATATGGTGACCTTTTAAGGCAAGTATGGCAAAGGATAAGAAAAGAGTCCTTGGCCTGACAGAGATTGGAGGAACCCCCAAGACTATGGTCCCTGGACACTCAGCTAACTCAGAACTGAAGCTACGCCCAAAGTCCACCTTTTAGCCAAAGAATAGACAGGCCTGTAAAACAAACAATAACACACGTGAGGAACGTGCTCCTTAGATCGATCACGTATACAAGAACAAATGGGTAACACCTGCCTAAAAGCCAACACGAGAAGGCAGGAAGGGGCAGGAAAACTGGACAAATGCAAACAGGGAACCCGAGGTGGAAAGGGGGAGAGTGCTGACACATTTCGGGGATTGCAACCAATGTCACAAAACAATCTGTATATAAATTTTTGAATGAGAAAATAATTTTCTCTGTAAACCTTCACCTATGGCACAATTAAAAAAACAAAAACAGAAAGAAAGGAGTCCTTCAGCATTGCAACGGTTAAGTGATCAGCTGCTAACCAAAAGGTTTGCAGATGGAGTCCACTCAACGGCACCTCAAAAGAAAGGCCTGGCGGTCTACTTCTGAAAAATCAGCCACTGAAAACCCTGTTGATCACAGTTCTATTCTGACACACATGGGGTTGCCCTGAGTTAGAATCGACTCGACCACAACTGGTTACTGGTATGGCAAGGGATGGTTCCCATTCTATGGGTAAATAAACTGAGGCTGGGGAGTTAAACAATTGGCTCAAAGCTGCCTAGGTACGGTGTAACACTCTGAATCTAGGATTCTAACTCCTAAGGCAAACCCTTCACATGCACCATTTAAAGCATGTGTGGCAATTAGGCTCTGTCTCACCTGCCACCAGGAAAGTCTGACAGCGTCTGTATTGAGAAGGACTGCATGCAGGGCAAATGGGAGAAACAACTGGAGTTGCTACAAGCTGCAGCGGGGAAGGGCCATGCCAGCACCCTGCTGCCCAGGGTAGACCATGTCCCTCCTGAGTTCAGCTTCTCTACCCTTGAAAGGGTACCATATTATAATGTGAGATCTTGGCAAGTGACACAAGGAAGCTGAGGCCCTGGGATGTTATCTGTGAAGTGAAAAGAATGCCTACCAGCTTGTGAGGCTCATAGATGATGTGTGTCTAGCCCCTAGAACAAGGCCTGGCACGTAGGCAGTGCACAATAAACCTCCTGTTACCAACAAATCTGTCTTGGAAGAAGTACAACCAGAATGCTGCTTAGAAGGAAGGATGGCGAGACTACGTCTCACATAATTTGGACATGTTATCAGGAGGGATCAGTCCCTGGAGAAGGACATCATGCTTGGTGAAGTAGAGGGTCAGCGAAAAAGAGGAAGACCCTCAAGGAGATGGATTGACACAGTGGCTGCAACAACGCGTTCAAGCATAACAATTGTGAGGATGGCACAGGGCCGGGCAGTGTTTCCTTCTGTTGTGCATAGGGTCACTATGAGTCAGAACCGACTCAATGGCACCTAACAACAACAACCACCTGTTATTTATACCCAACTGTAAGTGACACAGATGTATGCTGCTATTTATATCATCAAATTATAGAAGTTTATGGTGTTCCAAATCCATTCCTAGGGCTCAATGACGTTGTCAACATGACATTTTTAATAGTAGTCTGTTACCCCTAGAACAACCACCCATCTGCCAGTCTGTCATACTGTGGAGGCTTGTGTGTTGCTACGATGCTGGAAGCTGTTTCAAATATCAGGAGAGTCATCCATGGTGGTCAGGTTTCAGCCAACCTTCCGGACTGAGACAGACTATTAAGAAAGGCCTGGCATTCCCCTTCCAAAAGTTACCTATGGAAACTGTATGAATCACAACAGAATATTATCCAATACGGTGCTGAAGATGAGCCTCCTAGGTTGGAAGGCACTCAAAATACAGTAGCTGCAATGACAGGCCTGGCATACCAACGATCATGAAGATGGCACAATACCAGGCAATATTTCGTTCTGTTGTGTACGAGATGTCCATGAGTTGAAGCTCACTCAGTGGCAAATAACAACAACAACCACCCTTAGAAGCCCACAATGGTGAAGGAGAAGGAATGATAGGAAAAGGTTTTTCCTCATAGGCACACAGCCCTCTCCAGACCCACCCATCACATCACCCAGCATTGGAACCCAGGCCAGCAGGAGCTCACCTAAACCCAGTTCCTACAACACGCTTTTATGGTGCCTCAAGTGTCAAATACAAACACAAATGTCTTCTAGTTCCCCTTTTAATTAAGCCAAGGCCAGTTAATCTGGGATAGAATGATCTCCTTAAGAAGTCCACACGAGTTCCGGCAAAATGGCGCTCTAGGCAGAAGCACCACGCTGTCCCATGACAGCAAAGATCCGAAAAACTAAGCCAAACAGAGAATACAACAATCCTGAAACCGTAAAACATCAAATGAAGAGATAAAGAACTCAGCAAAGCATCAAACAGAGTGAGAAAACTGACAGAGAATGGAGAGCGAGCAGAGATTCATACAGAGGTCCCCAACCAGCTAACTCAGCGCGGATCCACCATCTTGGACTCCTATCGGAGGCCAGCAAACAGGGGGTATGAGAAAACTTCCCCAATATCATGAAAGATGAAAAGCTGGGCATCCAAGAAGCTCAACGAACCCCATATAGAAGAGACCCCAAAAGACAATCACCAAGGCATATCATATTCACACTTGCCAAAACCAAAGACAAAGAATCCTGACAGCAGCTCGTGAAAAACAAGAAGTCACATACAGAGGAGAAACAATAAGACTAAGCTCAGA